GCCGACGAACCCGACGAGCCCTCATTCATGGAGATGTTCTGCAACGTGCTTGGAAAGGAGGCCGCGGACTACCAGGTCGAGGTCGGTGGATGTCGATCCCGCGTTCAATGCCGCTGTCTCCTGTGCCCTTGGCGATCGTTCAGCCGCCGCGAGCACCTCATCGAGCACCAGAAGCACCACAGGCCGCCGAAGTTCGTCGCGTCTCGGGAGGACGATGCCCTCTTCAAGGTCGCTATGTCGCTGTACAGGTTCGACCGCGTCTGCTCGGTGTTGAACCGCGCGGCTCAGAAAGACGGCGGCTACCTGGCCCGCGCTGCCGGTCTGCTTCGAGAATGGAATCGCGACGCTCCAGCGGAAGCGCTGGAGGCTGCGCGCCACTCCAACGAAGCCCACCTCGTCTTCGTCTTCACAGAGGCGGGCCCGCGGTACTGGTTGCGCGCCAAGTGCATTGACTGCGTCCGCATTAACGCCAAGATCTCGTACACCAAAGGCTTCGAGGATTCCCTGATCAGCCTGGCCTTGGTCTCGCACGGGGCGATGAATGGCGTGATGGGCCATCTCCACAGGCAGTGGTCCCGCGACGGCACGTCGCCTTTCCTGGCCTGCCGCCCCTAGCTCTTGCGGGAGATCATGGACCACGTGTTCCGCCGCCCCGACGGCCTGGCGCAGCTGTCGGTGCGACGGCTCATGGGCGAGGAAGTGGCCCGCGGCGAGTTCACGGCACTGACCCACGATGGCACCTTCAAGTTCTTGTTCTCGGTCATCGGCGAGAAGAAAATGGACCAGAAGAAAGGCGGGATCTACGTCGGCCACACTCTGATGGGGATGACAGGAGCTTGCCCTGGATTCAGCGTCCAGCCCGATGAGAGCACGGAGAGCTTCGGTGCAGCGGTCAGGGAGCGGCTGACCCCCGCTGCGGTCGAGCAGGTGCGGATGCTTTACTCCGACGCCCCGAGCGAGAAGATGTTGGAGCATCTGCCGAGGTGTCTCGGCGTGGCACAGGACAGACTGCACATTGCCTTGCGGGCCGAGCAGTGCACGGACGGGAAGAGGACGGCTTGCTCATTTGAGCTGCTGCAGCTCACGAGGAAGTTTTCCCGTCCTCTCGGCGTGCCCGAGGAGTACTTGACGAGGGAGATCTACCATGGCCTCCCGATGCCCGAGGTGGTCTGGGGTGACGCGCAGCCCGCGCGCGAGCGTGCCGACAAGGACTGGGCGGATTTCTGCAACGAGCCTTTCGTCTCGCACGCGGAGTACGTGGCCGAGTTGAGGCGCATAGTCCAGAAGCACGAGAAGATCATGGACAGGAAGAATTCCAAAGGCGTGCCGCTCCGAAAAGTTTTGGAGAGCGCGAGCTCCACGAAGAACTACTACTACTTGCGCAACAATTCGGTGTTCGCCCAGCTCTCTCGCGGGCAATTGGTCGTCCAGGGCACGCCCCAGAACGAGGCCGAGCACAGGAACATGAAGCGCTGGGCGTGGTGCGTGTGGCAGCAGCACGAAGACCGCGTCCACGTGCTCAAGGAGGTCTACGCCCTCTACCGCATGCTCGTCCATGCCGCCCAGCACGAGTCGCTCGGCACGCGGCTTCCGCCCTTGCGGCTCGCAGAGATGTTGGCCGGCCAGATCGCTGCTGGCGGTCTCAGGGACGGCATCGGGCCAGACGGATCGCTGCCTATCGGAGAGGATGGCCCGAGCGGTTCTGTGCCCAACGGAAATGGGCCCAACCGCGGCGCACTCAGGAAGTCCCTCGTCAAGGTGGACGTCGGCTTGGCCGCGAAACAGAAAGAGGGAAAGAACAAGAGGGCAGCCGCGTGGAGCAAGGCTATGCCTGCAAAGAAGAAGCCGTGGGGGCACAGGAAGAGGGCGACGTCGACGAGGAAGTCCGCACCCTCCACCGTACACGCCGTGGTCGAGGAGGTCGCGGGGATCCAGGCCTGAGGCGCAGTTCCCTGAATCTTGCGCTTCGAGGCACGAAGCGCCGTAAGATTGCCCTGCTCTTGCGCCGCTATTAGGCATCGCCGCCGCACGCCTCTGTGACTGCACTGTTCAGTCGGGAGACAGTAAGACTGGGCGTGATAAGGAGAGCACGGTGATTTATGATCACTCTGCTCGGCCGCTAGCATTTTGCACGGCCACCGCAGGTATCATTTACTATCTTAGTACAGTCAGGAGGTTGTACGACTGGGGCTGCGAAAGAAAATGAAACCATGCATCGGGAATGTCGTACTTCTCATTGTTATTACCAGAAGTTTTGCACAATGCCCGTGGTCAGTGGTGAAGCTCGGATGCGTACCCCAGTATGCCATAAAGGTAAGCACCCAGATCTTCATACGTTGGAATGTTCTTGTGGCGGTCCCGGCGACCCCCAAAACAACCGAAAAACATCTCTTGCCCACTAAAGCTTTTTGAGTGCCAGAAACCTGGTAGTGGGCAAGAGCCTTTTTGGTGCTTCTGTGCAGCTAAATGTTTCTCGAGACCCGACATGCGGCCATTACGATTAATCCGCGAAGCCGGTGGAACCACAAACTTATCACAGGGAAGACCCAATGATCTTGCCCAGAACAAGACAAACACAAACATGAGCTTTGCCCCTAGGGTCTTTCGGGATCGAGAAAGCTGATATTGAGCACGAGGGTATGTAGTTTAGTTTGCTTCGAGCCTACCCTTCGACGTTGATTGGATGCGCATTCAGGCCACCTAGATCTTTAGATCTCTAGGTGGCCTAGATGGAGCTCCTAGGCCGAATGGTCTGGGATGAGGCCTTTCACGGGGGGGGGGGTCGCCGGGGGGGGTCGCCGCATCCTCCCCGGGGGGTCCCGGAGCTCAGAAAAGCTTCAAGACGAGCCAAGAGCGCCAGAAGACACCCCCAAAAGGGTACAAGAGGGCCTCGACTCGAAGACGATCGCCCCAAGACGCCCAAGACGGCCCGAAGACGGCCCAAGAGGCCCTCAAGACGCTCCAAGAGAGCCCCAAGAGCACTCCCAAGAGGGCCCCAGGAGCCAAAATCGTCAATTTTACATCGGTTTTTGAATGATTTTGGCCTTCTCGCCTTTTCGGCTTTCCGACACTCCAAGACGGCCCAAGAGGCCCCCAAGAGGCCCCCAAGAGCGCCCCAAGAGGCCTACAAGAGGGCCCCAAGACGGCCCAAGAAGGCCCCAGGACAGCCTAAGAGGCGCCCAAGACGGCCCAATAGGGCCCCAAGACGGGCCCAAGAAACGGCCAAGAGGGGGACGAGGAACCGAGAATTCGAGACTTCCGCCCTAAGAGGCCCCCGGGAAGCCCCAAGAGGCCCCCAAAAGGCCCCAAGAGGCCCCCAAGCGGCGCCAAGACGCCCCCAAGATGCGCCGAAGACGGCCTCCGGAAGCCCCAAGAGGCCCAAAAGAGGCCCGAAGAGGCCCCACAACGGCCCCCAAGAGGCTTCAAGTTGCCTTCCAGACGCCCCCGAGAGGTCAACCACGAGATCCCAACCAACATCCATAAGGCCTCCTCCTCCTCCCCCTTCACCCTTCCTCCTCCTACTCCCTTCCGCCTCCTCCTCCTCCTCCTCCTCCTCCTCGTGCCCCCCCCCCTCGTGTTGTCTTTCGTCATATTCAGGGTCGGCGGCAACGGCCGTAAGGCCTTCGCAATCTTCGAAACAGTGCATTACCCCTGAGACATTCTCATCAACTTATAAGAAGGATGACTCGTGGCCCGACGCATAAAAGGAAGGTCAGAGACACGATAGGAACTTTGGAATGGACAATACACTGCGGCCTGCCCGCCTACTGCGGCAATTGAACCGCGTGCAGCCCCATGGAGAAAGAGATACAAAGGTTAAGGGGGGATGCGTTTTTCCTGTATGCCGGGGGTTGCGGTTACGATTGCGAATGGAATGCGACGGTGTTGGCTCCCCGGGGCTCTCTTGGAGATCCTCTTGGAGCGCTCCGGGGGCATCTTGGAATCCTCTTCGACCGTTTGAACCGCCTCGTGAGCTGTCTGAGAGCATTCGAGAACGTGTTGGGAGCGATTCGGAGGCTGTCTTCAGTTGCCGAAGGCCTCCTGGAGGAGCCCAAAGACTTAGAATGTGGCGTTGTGGTATACCAAGAAAAAACGTTCGACACGGGCCCAAGGATTCGAGGTTTCCAGAAGAAACCGCACACCGTAGGAGAGGCACTCCTGAAGGAGCCCGAGGACAGAGGATAGGGCTTTTGGCAGGAGCCCAAGGACTTAGGATGAGGTTTTCGGCAAGGACAAGTGCCCTCAGGATGAGGTTTCCCACAAGGGCCGCAGGACGTACGACAGGGCCTCCCGGAGACGCCGAAGGAATTAAGACAAGGTGCGTGAGAGGAGCCCGCAGAACTAAGATAAGGTGTTCGACAGGGGCGCGAGGACTTGGGAAATGAAGCCCAAGGACTCCTGGGAAGGCTGCGACTGGGGCCAATGGGCTCAGGATCAGGTGTTCGACAGGAGGAGCCCAAGGACAATGACAAGATGTTCGACAAGGCCCACGGACTTGGGATAATAAAGTTCCCACTAGGGGCTGCAGGACCTAAAAGAGGAGCCCAAGGACTTATGCCAAGGTGTTCGACGGAGGCCACAGAGACTTCGGGGAAGGCTTGCGACAGGGGCCGCGGGGAGCGTCGGAGAGAGGACTTCGGGACATATGTTTAAGCGAAACCCCATGACGCAGGATGTGTTCGACAGCGGCACGAGGCCTTAGGGTCAGGTGTCCGACACGGGCTGCAGAACGAAGGAGCGGGCTTCCTGGAGAGGTGCATTGACTTAGCATGAAGGATTATTTGAGAGGAGCCCTCGGACAATAATAGGAACAAGCAAACTGACAGTGGGCCAAGATCGTAGGATAAGGTGTTCGAGAGGGGCCTAAGGACATAAACAAAACTCAAAGAGAAGCTCAAGGACTTATGACGCGGTTCCAAGTGAGCGCAAATACTTAGGATGAAAAGCTTGAGAGGAGCTCCCCCGGAATTGGGATGAGGTGTAAGCCGGGGACAACGACGCGCAGAAGAGAACCTCCCTGAGAAGCCCCAGGATTGAGGATACAACGTTTGAGAAAAGGCCACCCGTGTCTCCTGGGGCTTCTTGGCGGGCTGTTCGGGAGCACGGTCTGGAATCGTAGGTACCTTTTTTTTTTTCGTGCGTCTTCCAGCAAAAGGCAAAAGCAGTCACCGCTCCTGAGACGTCCAGACGAACACGTTGGACCAGGGCACGCTGGCAGGCAAGGGGCAACCAGTAGACTGAACGAGCTCAGTTCCCTCCTCCTATCCTCCGTCCTCTGTAAGACCGTTCGGCCCCCACACTCAACAATCGTGGAACGAGCCCATGCATCTGGGTAATGAGCGCCTGCGCAGCTTGGCGCGTCTCACGCTTACGGTGGACTTAAAGCCTAGGATCCATGAGCCCAGCTCCAAGTCCTAGAGTCTGGCTGCATCCTCTTTCGCAGGCGCAATTGCCATTCAGCGGCTGCGCAAGCACTGCCCACTCAACGACTGAAGAAGGGACACGCTGTGACGCTGAACACATGCACGGGAAGCCATTGTCGCCTGCGTATGATCATCTTCACCCAATAAACCCCCTACCGCAAACCCAGCACGGTCGAGATGCTTGATGTAAACATTCAGGTACTGGATCCCCTCCCTCGTGCGCCCATGAGCCACCTTTACATCTACCTTCCCAACATGTTTCCACTTCGATGTTCCGTAGCTCACATCCAGGGCGTGAAAGTGAAGACCGCCAGACCACGTAGCCTCTACCCACACCCCTGTCATGTTCAATTCTCGGAAGTACAAGTCTGCGCACTGCATACCCATTTGCACCGCTTCAGCCTCTACATGAAGCAGGGCTCTCTCAGCGCGCTCCCCCTTTGGAATGTTGACCAGTGTGTGCTTGCCAGGCCTCCTCAGGTCGAAACGCTCGCCGTAGATGTTTCGTAGGTGTGGGTCCCCTGTGGCAGTCATGGCGCCGCTGGAGACAGCCAACGGTGGAACGGGCCCCGGGGAAGCCGTGGGGCCCGGCGTCGAGAGAGGCGTCGGACGCGGCGTCGGTGGCTGCGTTGAGATGACGGCTAGGGCCGCCGGGCCTCCGATGGCTTGCAGGGGAGCGTTGCCGGACGCGCCGGGCGCAGTGGCGGAGAGCGCGCTGCTGATAAGGGCAGCAAGCCTGGCCAGGTCTTGACCAGAAGCCTGGGAGCTCAACAGCTCTGTCGCGCTGTCCTGAACCGAATGGGCCGTCTCTTCCAGCACGACAATGCGGTAGTCGATGGTGACGTTGCCGGCCAGCGAGCGGCGCGTGGCCTCGTACTCGACGGTGGCGTCAAGACGGCTACCACTGTCAATGCTGCAGAACACCGCGACGTCTTCAGGGGCTACGGTACCGTTCATGTAACTCGCGATCGATGATTGAAGAGCCTCCCGCATGTCTGCGCTGCTGGAACAATCTGACGCAAACTTCTCGGGGTCGGGCACCGTCACAGCGAACTCGCCCTGGACCATCGGGGGGGCCGTCGGGGCGGGGGTCGGCGTGGGCGTCGGGCTGGCCGTCGGACTGGCCGTGGGGCCAGCCGCGGGGCTCGCTGCAGGGCTTGATGTGCAATTTCCGGCGTGATCGACCGCAATCTCTTCCGAGCCTCCGAACGCCTCCGTGGGGGCATTGCTGGCCGCGGCAGGCGCAGTGCTGGACAGCTCGTCGCTGATGATGGTGACGAGTCTGGCCAAGCCCTGACTGGAAGCCTGGGGGCCCAAAAGCACTTCTGCGCTGTCCCGAATCGAGTCGACGAGTCCGACAGGCGCGGCGATGTCGTACTGAATGGTGACGTTGCTGGTACGGTGCTCGTCGACACGCTGCCCGAAGACGCAAAACACCGAGACGTCCTCAGGGGTGACGGTGCCATTGAAAATTGTCGCGATTGACGTTTCTAGAGCAACTCGCACGTCTGTACCGTTGGAACAATTCTCTGCAAATTCTTCGGGGTCGGGGACGGTGAGGGCAAAACCACCTTGAACCGTTGTGCAGACCGTCGGGCTTGGCGTCGGGCCAGCAGTTGGGCTGGCTGTCGGGCTGGCCGTCGGGCTGGCCGTCGGACTGGCCGACGGGCTGGCCGTCGGGCTGGCCGTAGGGCTGGCCGTAGGGCTGGCCGTGGGGCTGGCCGTCGGGCTGGCTGTCGGGCTGGCAGTTGGGCCGGCCGTGGGGCTAGCAGTCGGGCTGGCCGTCGGGCTGGCCGTCGGGCTGGCCGTCGGACTGGCTGTCGGGTAGCGCGTCGGGTTGGGCGTCGGGTAGGGCGTCGGGTAGGGCGTCGGGTAGCGCGTCGGGTAGGGCGTCGGGTAGGGCGTCGGGTAGCGCGTCGGGTAGGGCGTCGGGTAGGGCGTCGGGTAGCGCGTCGGGTTGGGCGTCGAGGGCGTCGGGTAGCGCGTCGGGAAGCGCGTCGGGTGGGGCGTGGGGCTGCGCGTCGGGAAGCGCGTCGGGTGGGGCGTGGGTCTGGGCGTCGGACTGGCTGTCGGGCTAGCAGTTGGGCTGGCCGTCGGGCTGGCCGTCGGGCTGGCAGTTGGGCTTGCCGTTGGGCTGGCTGTCGGGCTGGCAGTTGGGCTGGCCGTAGGGCTGGCCGTAGGGCTGGCCGTGGGGCTGGCCGTCGGGCTGGCTGTCGGGCTGGCAGTTGGGCCGGCCGTGGGGCTAGCAGTCGGGCTGGCCGTCGGGCTGGCCGTCGGGCTAGCCGTCGGACTGCGCGTTGGGTTGCGCGTCGGACTGGCAGTTGGGCTGGCCGTGGGGCTCGGCGTCGAACGTCTCCGTCTCGGCGTCGAACGTCTCCGTCGCGGCGCATAAGAGGGGGGGCTTGGAGCAGGAGGACTATTCCCCTGAAAGAATTGGCCAAACAGGCTTCCAAGTCCCCCAAGCGCAGGTGCTGCACCTGCAAACATCGCACCGCTAAGCGACAACAGCGCAGCCCCAACACCCCCCGCTACAATGCCTGCTAGAGCTGCTCCTATATCTTGAAGAGTATCGTCAAACGAGCTGGCTTCGACCTCGTACCCAAGGGTGACGTTGCCATCAACCAATTTGCAGAACACATTGATGGCCTGAGGGTCGACGGTGCTACCAAGTTCACCATCGAGGTAGGTCGCAATCGATGCTTGAATATCCGGGTTATTTGCACAATTTGCCACAAACTCTTCTGGGTCGAGCACCGTTGCAGAGAGCTCACCGTACACCGCTGGGGGGGCCGTCGGGGCGGGGGTCGGGCTGGCCGTCGGAATGGCCGTCGGGCTGGCCGTCGGGCTGGCAGTTGGGCTTGCCGTTGGGCTGGCTGTCGGGCTGGCAGTTGGTTTGGGCGTCGGGTAGGGCGTCGGGTAGCGCGTCGGGTTGGGCGTCGGGTAGGGCGTCGGGTAGGGCGTCGGGTAGCGCGTCGGGTAGGGCGTCGGGTAGGGCGTCGGGTAGCGCGTCGGGTTGGGCGTCGGGTAGGGCGTCGGGTAGGGCGTCGGGTAGCGCGTCGGGTTGGGCGTCGGGTAGGGCGTCGGGTAGCGCGTCGGGTTGGGCGTGGGGCTGGGCGTCGGAGTGGGCGTGGGGCTGGGCGTCGGGTTGGGCGTGGGGCTTGGCGTTGGGTTGGCCGTGGGGCTGGCCGTCGGGCTGGCCGTAGGGCTGGCCGTGGGGCTGGCCGTCGGGCTGGCCGTCGGACTGGCCGACGGGCTGGCCGTCGGGCTGGCCGTAGGGCTGGCCGTGGGGCTGGGCGTCGTGGAGATCGATGATGTCAGCAATGCAGCGACAATGTCTCCATCCCTTTCTGTGGATACCGCTAGTCGAACTTGACTTGGAAGTGATTGGAACGGTGGGCAATTTACACCGTTGACGGCAACGGTCATTGTTGCGAGGGACATGTCGATCTGCACACGGATCACATCACCAACTTGAATACCGTGATTTGAACAACCCTGCCAACTACTTTGACCCCACTTGTTGCCTAGAAGTTGGAGACCTCGACCAGATTGGCAATTGTACCCATCAACGCTGCTGTGGTAGCATCCGCTCTGTCCAAGATCGTACCCTTCGAATACGACACCGAATGCTACACTGCAGCCTGGCGATTGAGTACAGCCATGGGACGACGCGACATATGCAAACGATGCCGTGTAAGTCCCTGACTCTATCCATGGGCCAAACGCTATGGTCCTCCAGAGCCATGATGAAGCCGCACTCCTTGTCACCGTTGAGCCGTCGACGACGTACCACGTGTTGTCTGGCTGCCAAAGGGACACCGGCGAAGTAAACACCTGCAATGACGCGCCGTACTCGTAGAAATACAACAGCACACCCCTTGGGGGGCTTGCCACCGACCAAGAATGGAGCCTCACACCGTTTTTGTACACGACAATCATGTTCGCCTCCCACTGAAACCTGAACACATCATGCGTCGTGTATGTGCTGTCGGCTCTACCAGGTATGTAGACTCGCCCTGCTGGGAAAAGGCCTATATATGCTCCATTCGGGTATTTCGAATTGTCTGTCAGATCAGCGGTGAGACCAACCCGTTTGTGTGCCCATGTCTCTTCAGCCTGGATGCTTACGCTTACAATGCCGTGCGCACTCGCCGAGGCATCGTACGCCGACCCACTGGATATTTTTCGGATCGTGTTGCCCACTCGCACGGCTTGCGTGAGCGTCCATGCTGCCGACGGGTCAATGTGCACGTAGTGGAGGCAGTATCCTTCTCCACATGAATATGCCATTGTAGTACCACTGTCCCAGAGACTGCTGATTGATGCACGCGTCAGGCTGTGATACCCTGACACATATCGGGCAGATCGCGAACCTGCTTCAACTCCGTTCACTATGGTTACACCAACCATCTTGGTGTAGCCCCCATGGTAGACAGCGAAAATCCACAAAGTGAAATCGCTTCGGTGCAGGACTGCACGGACATTATTGTACTGGGACAACATAGCGCTGCTTGGACCGACTTGCCCAGTCACGGTAAGCACTCTCGTCTCAGCACCCTGATGCGGGCATTGGCTCCCTCTCGCCCACCCATAGTCGTTTCCCGTGTAGATGCTGCTCGACCCTGCGAGCGCGCAGTCGAACCTTGAGCAGCTGCCTCCACATCCACAATTTCCAACCCACCTGCAATAGTCGTTGCAGATGCCCTGCCCCTGGACGTCGTACCACCCGCGCTCACAGCTTCCTCCGTAGCCCAGGTCTACGATGTTCTGCTGGGCTGGTAGTATGTAGCGATCTTCGAGATTATTCGGATCGAAGGGGTAGATCACTGGGGAGATTAATGGAAAAGTAGAGGCGTTGGTCCGCTCGGCCCCCTTGCCGTCGGCATCGCCGCTCTTGTCGTCAGCGTTCAGCTGCAGCGAGCCCGCGTGACTGAATATGGAAAGCATGATTGCGATGTGTTTGGCCCAACGCATCCTGGAACGAGCGGCGGCTCGCCTCAGAGCAAGAGGTCTGGCGATGTGTACGTGCGATGCCGGAGTGCACCGAGATCCGCTTGTATGCTTCAGCTCAAACGGCTTGAGCTTGAGCCAAAATGGAGGGCCCGAAAGCCTTCTCGGAGGCGTCTTGGAGGCAGGGTTGGCTCTCTTGTGCGCCTCCTAGTGGCATCTCCGCGCATATTGGAGACGTCCTGGAAGCCTTTTGGGTGCCTGTTGGCTGTTGCCGTGCTGACCTACGCTACGCGACAATATGCAATGATAAGAGACGCTGTGATACACGATGCTAGTATGCTATGCTGTGCGAAGCAATGGAATGCCTAGCTATGCGACCCCTCCCTCCCAATTACGACAGCATGGCAGCCTTGGCATAACCGCCACCCCCACCCCCGAATAAAACCAGCACGACGTCCTTATGAAACCAATCCCCTCACCATCGAAGGTAAACCCGAATCAGAACCAGGACAACGTCATTGAACCACGCCCTCCAATTGCTGTTGGTGCTCCCCTCCTCGTCCTCCTCCTGGTCGTCCTCCTCCTCCTCCTCCTCCTGCTCCTCCTCCTCCTCCTCCTCCTCCTCCCCCTTTTCCCTCTTTACCCAGTAACATGTCGCGAACGCTTCCTGCGGCACAATGCACGAACAAGATGAGGTACCCTCCTCCTCGCGTCTCTGCCTCACCCCCCCTTCTCCTCCTCCGTCGGCGTCTGTGTAATGATGTGCCGTGCGCTGCTCTGCCTCGCTATGATTGCTACGATATGCCATCCTATGCCATGCTATGCTATGCCGTGCTACGCGATGCTACACTACGCTATGCTATGCCGTGCCGTGCTGACCTACGCTACGCTACAATATGCAATGATAAGAGACGCTGTGATACACGATGCTACTATGCTATGCTGTGCGAAGCAATGGAATGCCAAGCTATGCGACCCCCCCCCTCCCAATTACGACAGCATGGCACCCTTGGCATAACCGCCACCCCACCCCCGAATAAAACCAGCACGACGTCCTTATGAAAACCAATCCCCTCACCATCGAAGGTAAACCCGAATCAGAACCAGGAAAACGTCATTGAACCACGCCCTCCAATTGCTGTTGGTGCTCCCCTCCTCGTCCTCCTCCTGGTCGTCCTCCTCCTCCTCCTCCTCCTGCTGCTCCTCCTCCTCCTCCTCCTCCCCCTTTTCCCTCTTCACCCAGTAACAAGTCGCGAACGCTTCCTGCGGCACAATGCACGAGCAAGATGAGGTACCCTCCTCCTCCCGTCTCTGCCTCACCCTCCTTCTCCTCCTCCGTCGGCGTCGCCCAGGGTGCCAGAAAACGACCCCAAATAAAACCAGCACGACGTCATTGTGAAAACCAAATCCCCCTGACATCCAGGTGCATCCCTTTACGCCAGCATACGTGTTTAGGAGTGGCCACCCCGAATAAAACCAACACGACGCCTTTATGAAAACCAATTCTCCCGACACCAAAAAAAAACAAGAATACAACAAGAACGATCTCCTCAAGCAACCACGGGCCTATGGCTATGTGTCTCTCCTCGTTCCTTCGACCCTCCTCCCATCGTACCCGCCCGACTCCTGTACCATCACCACCCTCCTCGTCGCGCTTCGCTCCTCCTTGTCCTCCTCCTCCTCCTCCCCCTTCGCGTCCCCCCGAAATGACACAGAAGTAGACCCCCTAATTCCCCTCTACGTCTGCAAAGCTGCCCGAGAAACACCACCCACGAATAAAACCAGCACGACGTCATTAAGAAAACCAAGTCAGCTGACACGGAAATGAAACCTGAATTAAACCAGAACTGCGTCCTTCACTCCCCCCGTGTACTCCTGACCCTCCTCCTCTTCCCTCACCTTCGCCCGGGGTGCCAGAACACGACCCTGAGTAAAACCATCACAACGTCCTTAGGAAAACCAGGCCCGTCCGACATCCAAGTAAACTCCTCTACGGCAGCATAGGTGCATAGGGGCAACCAACCCGGATGAAACCAGCACGACGCCTTTATGCAAACCAATTCCCCCGACATCAAAGTGAACACCGAACACAACCAGAACGCCCTCCCTATGACCCCCACCATGGTTATTTGTCTTTTCCCGTTCCTCCGACCCTCCTCCCATCATACCCCCCGCTCTCCCGTACCATCACCACCCTCCTCATCGCGCCTCGATCCTCCTCCTCCTCCTCCACCTCCTCCTCCTCCTTCCCCTCCCACCTCGCCTCCACCCGTAACGTCAAAGCAGTAAGCCTCTGATTCCCCTCTACGTATGCATGGCTGCCCAGTAAACACCACCCACGAATAAAACCAGCACGACGTCAGTGAGAAAACTAAGTCAACCAGCAAGGAATCGAACTCTGAAGTAAACCAGAACGGCGTCCTTCACTCCCCCCCTTTCCTCATCACACTCCTCCTCCTCCTCCTCATCCTCCTACTCCTCCTCCTCCTCCTCCTCCTCCTCTTCCATCGGCTTCGCCCGGGGTGCCAGATAACGACCGCGAATAAAACCAGCACAACGTCCTTACGTCCTTATGACCCCCCAGACATCCAAGTAACTCCCTCTACGGCAACATGTTTGTACAGAGCCAACCACCCCGAATGAAACCAGCACCACGTTTTTATGCAAACCACTTCCCCCGACATCAAAGTGAACCCCAAAACTTATGGTTGTTTGTCTTTCCTCGTTCCTCCGACCCTCCTCCTTTAATACAACCCGCTCTCCTGTGCCATCACCACCCTCGTCCTCCTCCTCCTCCTCCTCCTCCTCCTCCTCCTCCTCCTCGTCGTCCTCGATCTCATCCTGCTCCATATCCTCCTCCTCCTCCTCCTCCTGTTCCATATCCTCCTCCTCTTCCTCTCCCTCCTCCTCCTCCTTCTCCTCCTCTTCCTCCGTCGGCCCGAGGACCTGTAATTTCAAGTGGTCCAAACGCGCTGTGCATGAAACTGGGGTCCCCAGAACCGTTTCTGAGGATCCGCAGTGCCCTGATTGTGCAAGTGTGACTCTGGGCTTGCGTCATGGAGCCAGATTTTGGCGATGGCTGCGGCTTGGGGCCCTCTTGGGGGAGTCCTTTGGGCGCCGACAGGGGCCGTCATAGGCGAAGTCCCGGGCCTTTTGGAGCTCCTCTTCAGCAATCTTGGGCCCCTCTGAACCACCTGGGAGGATGCCGCCTGAGGGCGATTGCCGTTGGAGCTTCCCGCAAGTTGGACACCTCTGGGGCTCTCGTGGGGACCTCTTGTAACCTTCTGGGGGCTGTCTGGGCCGTTCTTGGGCCATCCTGGCGCCGTCTTGCGCCCTTTTCCAACTTGCGTGGTCTGTCCGGAAGCGCCTCTGGGATCCTCTTGGGCTGTTTGGGGCGCCTGGGGAACAATAAAAGCGAACATGCAAAACTCGACGGGGCCCTTAATGGAACTCAATATTGTTTGTCTCCCACGGGAGACGTGGACGCCCTGTTGATGCCGTCATGGGGCCTCTTGGCTGCGACCTGGGCCGTTTTCAGGCCATCTTGAACCCCCTTGGAGCGCTATTGGGGGGGCGCTCTTGGGCCGTTTTGGAGGCGTCCGGGGCCGTCTGGAAGCAATCGCGAGTCCTCTTGGAGCGCTCTCGTGGGCGACAGAGCCCCCCAAAAGGCCGAGAACCGGCCCTGGAGCCCAGAGGGTACACGCGGTTAGCGCGGGAGGGGGCCCAACACTCCGACATAATGTGCCGATGGGACCACCCCACGGGTGATAAGGGAGATTCGGGAAAGGGGGGGTCGGTCGATTTGCGATGGCTCTGAGTTATTTGATTATTTCTTCAACTTTCTTGTGTCGCTCGCATCAGGACAATCATCAGAACAGGCAACAGGCCAACCATTGGGACAACCGCGAGAATCAAACGCGGGGACACCGCGTGGCCATTCGCGAGGACGACCACGTGGACCACCAGGAGAATCATCAGGGAAACCATCAGGGCAACAGTCAGGGCAACTGTCAGGACACCCATCAGGACAACCATTAGAACAACCATCACCACAACCACCAGGACAACCAACAGGACAACCATCAGGACAATCTTCAGGACAACCACCGGGACCACCGCAGGCCAACCATGAAGACAGCCATCAGGGCAACCACCAATCCAATCATCAAGACAAACACCAGGAAAACCTCCAGGACAACCATCGGGGCAACCAGCGGGGCAACCAGGGGGGCCACCCGCGGCCGGGGGCAAGGCCCGGCGGCCCTTTGGGCTCTTTGTGGCTTCTACAATGGCTGGGCCCCGAACAGCGCCGCCTCACCCGCGCGCGCGACTCGAACCAAAACCGAAACCGACTACCCGGCGGGGCGCTCTCTGTTCCACTGCGGTCTCTCTCCCCCACCTCTGATACGCTGCTTGCAACGCATTGGCGCCACAGCCACGCATGGCGCTGCGCCGACTCCATTCGTCGCAGTGGGAAGGGCAATGTGAAACGTTGACTGCGCAGCCGCAGTGCGGGAAGGGTTGCTAGGGATCCACGCGGGCGAACCAATCCGGAGGCGCGGGGAATGGCGCGGCGGAAAAGATGGGAGCAAGGAGCTGGCTTTCTGAAGGACCCTCAACGCGGCTCGCTCTCGTCGCCCGAGTCGCCAGCAGGGGCCGCCGCCCTCTTCTCCACGCCGTGCGCCAACAGCGCGCTGCCGCGCCCCTTGCCGTAGAGGTTTCCCGTCGTGCTCGTTTGCAAAACCTCCACGAGCTTGCATGAGTTGTCTTGGGGAACCATGAAGTCGACGTCGGCCAGGCAGGCAGCAGCGTCGCCGTACCGCAGGCGCACATCCTCCAGCCGGATCTTCATGGCGGCGTACATGGCCACGCGCCCGTCCCTGGCCACACGCGCTGACTGGTGATAGACGCACGCCAATTTGCACGGGTTGGGGCCCGAGCAAAACCGCGAAGCGTGGGAGCGAGAGGCGCCGAGACTATGCAGAATGTTACGCACGCCCTGATCGATACACCACGTTCTTCGCGACGAACCCTGACACCCCTCCGTCGGCGTCGTTGCCCAGCCCGCCGAACCCGCGGAAGTTGGCATAGATGATCTCATCTAAGAGCGCCGCGTCCCCCGCCGACTTGTCGGACAAGAAGCGCAGCAGCAGGTCGACGCTGCGCTCGAAGCCATCGGCGTAGTCGCCGCCGGGGAGAGTGTCGAGGACGTTGGATCTCCCCACCAGCAGGAGGCACTCCGACTTGCTCCCGCAGGAAAAAACTCCTGAGTGCACCAGTCAACTTCGACGTTTACATCGGCCCGAATCGTCTCGTCAGGCGAAGAATCTCGGCGCCCCGCAGGGGCCCCTGGCCGCCCCCCGCCCCCTGCTCCGCCCCCAGGCCCCGGACGGCGCCCCGAGCCCTCACGGACCGATGAAATTCGAAGTTGTCCAGTTTCTCCTTCGCTGGTGCTCCGCCGGACGAGACTGGGGTCGCGGTTGCCCCGCCCAGCCACGAAGCACCCGAGGACGTCAGCCTCCGAGAGCAAGGACTTCCCCTCGACGCAGGCCGCGCATTCGCAATGCCGCGTGGCGTGCACCACCAACACGGCGCGCAGCACAGTCGCGCAGTAATTTCTCTCGCCAAGCGATGCATCACACGACAAGATATAACCGCGCACTCGCTGCTGGACCGGGTCGTCCACCGAGTCGACGCAATGGAGATTGAGCAGGAGGCAGCTGTTCAGGAAAGACACTGGCAGTGGAATGTCGTAGAGCGGGTGCTTGTATGTCTTCCGGGGGTTCTTCTTCTGCAGAAAGTCGAAAAATCTCCCAGCCCCGCCCGGCATGTCCACCGAGCAGCGGTCGACGGAGAACGGTTTGTACCGGTCAGAAGACTTCTTGTGCAGTTCAAGCAATTTCCGCAAAGCGACATAGCTCCGCGCCGCGCCGACAACCACATCCTGCACATTCTGTCCCTAAGTGCTGCCCCAGAGTGCAGTCATCTCGTCCCCGAGGCCCGCGAAATTCACAGGATGGTGCCAGCCCCGCGCGTTCACGCGCGCCGTGGGCGCCGGTGCCTCTGCAGCGGGCTGCGTTTCTGACCCCAAAAAAGACTTATTTGGGGCTACAGATGCCCCAAATAAGTCTTTTTTGGGGTCAGAAACCTGATAGTGGGCAAGAGCGTTTTGGCTCGTTTTGGCATCGCCCAATGTCAGTCGAGGCCCGACTGACTGCCGCGGCGATTAAGTAGCACGACCATAGCAAACAATAACTTTGCCGAAAGAAAGCCCAGGGGCCCAGCCCAAAAACACCCAAAAAACGCTCTTGCCCACTAAGTCTTTTTTGGGGTCAGAAACCTGATAGTGGGCAAGAGCGTTTCGGCTTGTTTTGGCCGCGCCCAATGTTTCTCGAGGCCCGATTCACTGCCGCGGCGATTAACTAGCGCGACCATAGCAAACAATAACTTTGCCGAAAGAAAGCCCAGGGGCCCAGCCCAAAAACACCCAAAAAACGGTCTTGCCCACGAAGCCTTTTTCGGGGTCAGAAACCTGATAGTGGGCAAGAGCGTTTCTGTTTGGTTTGCGTGTCTTTTGATTGTTCGAGGCCCGACAGACGGCCGCGGCCCCCGAGATGCACCTATATCATCGTCATCGTCGCTACCATCACTGCAACCGCTGCGGCTCGACGGCAGAGTGGCCCCAGAGCGTGCTCGTCGCGCCCTTCGGGGAGGGAGAGCGAGCGCCCGCCGCTCGCGGTGCCAGCTAGCGTTCGGGGATGTCCTGGGACGAGGGAGATCGGGGTCGGAGCCGCAGCCCGCGGCCGAGCCCGCGGTCGACTCCCGCGCCCACTCCATCCGCAGTGTTCTCTCCGGGCAAGTACAAGGAGAGCGTCTTCCAGAAGTTCGGCCGAAGTTCAAGCGCTTTCGCGGACCGCTTCACGGCGGTGGCCGACGACGTCGACATGGGCGACGACAATATTGAACGATCAGGTCGCGAAGACGCACGCTGCCGTGAAGAAGCTGGTGGAAAAGAACGCGGAGCGCCTCGGGGACAAGTATGACGAGCTATGCGTCGTGAAGACCCAGGTCGACGAGATGGAACGGGGCGGCGCCCGCGTCCACGACCTCTTCCTCCTGCGCGTGTTCATGGCTGTCTTCGGCGGGCCGAGGAGCCCGTGGCGCGCGCATGACGGGCAGGCGCATCGGTACCACAACGGAGCATTTCGGTACACCGCCGCGATGAACGTCCAGCAGGCCCTACGCCTGGAGCACGCGGTGAACCGAGCGGACGCGATCCTCCTTCGCATGAGCAAGGACAAAAACGTGAAGCGACCGTCTTGGGACGAGGGGTGGCTCCTTGACTACACGAGCCCTGCCGCGGCGACGCAGGCCGACGTGGACGACGACCCCGATGAGAGCTTCTCGATCGCGCGCAAGATGCTCCGGGAAAGTTTGAACAGGTTTCTCACTACTGGGAACAACGTCAACATCCTCAAGACATTCTGCAAGTGGTGCGACCAGCCGAAGCAAGCGGAGCCCACGTTGGCGTTCAAGGACAAGTGCTTGAAGATCCAGCCTGGCCAGGCAGCAAGGGAGATCAAGAAAGCCCCCGAGGTCAACTGCTACGCGTACATGGACTTATCCATCAAGTACAAGCCGCCCGCGGCCGACGTGGACAGGTACGACCTCATGATGGCCACCCTGTACGGGGACGACGTCGAATCAAAGGAGATCGAAGTCCTTGGCGAGGCGCTGGCCCTCATGCACAAGCGGCAGCCACCTCGCGTGCGGGTTCGGAAGGGAAAAGGCAAGGCGCTCAGGACCGCGATCCAGCGATCTGGGGATCTAGGGCGCCTGGGGGGCCTAGATATGCGATCTATGCGATCTATGCGATCTATGCGATCTAGGTCGCCACCTGTGCGATCTATGCGATCTATGCGGTCTATGCGATCTATGCGACCTATGCGATCTATGCGACCTATGCGATCTATGTGACCTATGCGATCTATGCGATCTATGCGGCCTATGTCGCCACCTATGCGACCTATGCGATCTATGCGCGACCTATGCGACCTATGCGATCTATGCCTATGCGATCTATGCGATCTATGCGATCTATGCGACCTAGGTCGCCTAGGTCGCCGCCTGTGCGATCTATGCGACCTATGCGGTCTATGCGATCTATGCGACCTAGGTCGCCGCCTGTGCGATCTATGCGACCTATGCGATCTATGCGATCTATGCGACCTAGGTCGCCATCTGGGCCTAGGTCGCATAGATCGCATAGATCGCATAGATCGCACAGGCGGCGACCTAGGTCGCATAGATCGCATAGATCGCATAGGTCGCATAGGTCGCATAGGTGGCGACCTAGGTCGGCACCTATGCGACCTATGCGATCTATGCGATCTATGCGACCTAGGCCGTCACCTATGCGACCTATGCGATCTATGCGATCTATGCGATCTATGCGATCTATGCGACCTAGGCCCAGATGGCGACCTAGGTCGCATAGATCGCATAGATCGCATAGGTCGCATAGATCGCACAGGCGGCGACCTAGGTCGCATAGATCGCATAGATCGCATAGGTCGCATAGATCGCACAGGCGGCGACCTAGATCGCATAGATCGCATAGATCGCATAGGTCGCAAAGATCGCACAGGTGGCGACCTAGGTCGCACAGATAGCATAGATTGCTTAGATCGCATAGGTCGCATAGATCGCATAGGTCGCACAGGTGGCGACCTAGGTCGCATAGATAGCATAGGTCGCATAGATCGCATAGACCGCATAGATCGCATAGGTCGCAAAGATCGCCCAGATGGCGACCTAGGTCGCATAGATCGCCTAGGTCGCATAGATCGCGTAGATCGCATAGGTCGCATAGATCGCATAGATCGCATAGATCGCATAGATCGCATAGGTCGCATACATCGCATGGGTTGCATATACCGCATAGATCATGTGGTCGCCTCCCTCAGGTGGCAACGGGAAGTCGCTGCGGTCGAAGCTGACCTTGGCTGCGCTCGGCGAGACCATGGTGAAGTTTGCCAGCACGTACCTCCTCACCAGAGACAGGGAGTTCCAGGTCTCCGCAAAGCGTCTCATCGGCGCCATGGCCGTCATCTTCCAGGAGGTGCAGAAGGGCGAGAAGATCCAGGAGGTCGTGGCTAAGAATTTGTTCGCCAGGGCAGAGCTGCTCGTTCGTGAGAATCATGGGAAATCAGAGGACGAGCGCCATTACGCGTGGACGTTCGCGGACTTCGTCATCGAGTTGAATCACGCTTTCCGCATCGAGTGCGACGATGATGCGCTTCACGCCTGGCGGCGCCGTCTGCTGCTGATCGCCTTCGAGGGCGACTTCACTCGCAACGCGGCCTTGGTCTCGGTTGAGCATGGCCTCTTCTTGGCTGACCCCGAACTGGAGGACTGGGCCTCATCTGGCGTGGCGGGCTTCATCCACATGACCCGAGGCATCCTGCCTCTCGTCGAGAAGTACTCGGCGTCCGCGGCCTACGACAAGCTGGACAATCCCTCACCAGCGCGCGCTGCAATGAACGAAGAGTTCCTGAACGACATCAGGGCGTCGGACGGCCGCGACGGAGCTGGCCTGGCTGGCGGGCTTCGTGGCCACGGCGACCAGGCGGACGCCGCGTCGGATCCACTCTCTCGGGCTTCCACGCTCCTTGCCGTCATGCATCTCGACGAGGACACCTGCATGACGGACAGCCAGCGAGAGCGCGCGAAGGCGGGGGCTTGCATCAAGGGGGGGCGGCAGTCTGACAAGAAGGATGCCTGGGACCGCATGAAGGCCGCGGCCATGTGGAAACCCGTAGTGCGACAATGGGGCCGCAAGGTCCCCTACTACTATCCAGCCTTGTGCGCCGGAACACAGTCTTGGTATGTCTGACACGGGCTTGCAGTTCGTGTACTGCGAGATAGCCAAGGTCGTCACGTTCCACTACAACCTCCACAAGCGGTACTGGCGCCTGCGCAAGCTGCGCGGCGACGCGGGCAATGCGGCTGGCAGCGACGCCGAGGACGGCGACCACGGGAGCGACAACGACGACTGAGCTCGTGGCGCGCACATGGCGGGCAGGCGCATCGGTACCACGATGGAGCTTGGAAGCGCACCGCCACGATGAACGTCCAGCGATGTCTGTCAAGCAGCCGCTGCGCCTGGAGGGCGGAGTGGCCCTGGCGGGAGCGATCCTTCTTCGCATGAGAGTGCTTTGCACGCAGAAAAACAATTCCTGCCCGCTATAGCTTTTGGGGGGCCAGAAACCTGGTAGCAGGCAAAAGCGTTTCGGAGTGTTTGGGTTTTTACCAGTGTCCTTCGAGGCCCGACTGACGGCCGTTGCGATTGATTATCGCGGCCACAGAAAACGACGACTTTGCGAGGATAAAGCTTATGGGGCCCTGCCCAAAAGCACAAAAAAACGCTCTTGCCCACTAGGGCTTTTTTGGGGTCGGAAACTTGATAGTGGGTAAGAGCGTTTTGGCTCGTTTTGGCATCGCCCAATGTCAGTCGAGGCCCGACTGACTGCCGCGGCGATTAAGTAGCACGATCATAGCAAACAATAACTTTGCCGAAAGAAAGCCCAGGGGCCCAGCCCAAAAACACCCAAAAAAACGCTCTTGCCCACTAAGTCTTTTTTGGGGTCAGAAACCTGATGCGGCGATTAAGTAGCACGACCATAGCAAACAATAACTTTGCCGAAAGAAAGCCCAGGGGCCCAGCCCAAAAACACCCAAAAAACGCTCTTGCCCACTAAGTCTTTTTTGGTGTCAGAAACCTGATAGTGGGCAAGAGCGTTTCGGCTTGTTTTGGCCGCGCCCAATGTTTCTCGAGGCCCGATTGACTGCCGCGGCGATTAATTAGCGCGACCATAGCAAACAATAACTTTGCCGAAAGAAAGCCCAGGGGCCCAGCCCAAAAACACCCAAAAAACGGTCTTGCCCACTAAGCCTTTTTCGGGGTCAGAAACCTGATAGTGGGCAAGAGCGTTTCTGTTTGGTTTGCGTGTCTTTTGATTGTTCGAGGCCCGACAGACGGCCGCGGCCCCCGAGATGCACCTATATCATCGTCATCGTCGCTACCATCACTGCAACCGCTGCGGCTCGACGGCAGAGTGGCCCCAGAGCGTGCTCGTCGCGCCCTTCGGGGAGGGAGAGCGAGCGCCCGCCGCTCGCGGTGCCAGCTAGAACGCGTTCGGGGATGTCCTGGGACGAGGGAGATCGGGGTCGGAGCCGCAGCCCGCGGCCGAGCCCGCGGTCGACTCCCGCGCCCACTCCATCCGCAGTGTTCTCTCCGGGCAAGTACAAGGAGAGCGTCTTCCAGAAGTTCGGCCGAAGTTCAAGCGCTTTCGCGGACCGCTTCACGGCGGTGGCCGACGACGTCGACATGGGCGACGACAATATTGAACGATCAGGTCGCGAAGACGCACGCTGCCGTGAAGAAGCTGGTGGAAAAGAACGCGGAGCGCCTCGGGGACAAGTATGACGAGCTATGCGTCGTGAAGACCCAGGTCGACGAGATGGAACGGGGCGGCGCCCGCGTCCACGACCTCTTCCTCCTGCGCGTGTTCATGGCTGTCTTCGGCGGGCCGAGGAGCCCGTGGCGCGCGCATGACGGGCAGGCGCATCGGTACCACAACGGAGCATTTCGGTACACCGCCGCGATGAACGTCCAGCAGGCCCTACGCCTGGAGCACGCGGTGAACCGAGCGGACGCGATCCTCCTTCGCATGAGCAAGGACAAAAACGTGAAGCGACCGTCTTGGGACGAGGGGTGGCTCCTTGACTACACGAGCCCTGCCGCGGCGACGCAGGCCGACGTGGACGACGACCCCGATGAGAGCTTCTCGATCGCGCGCAAGATGCTCCGGGAAAGTTTGAACAGGTTTCTCACTACTGGGAACAACGTCAACATCCTCAAGACATTCTGCAAGTGGTGCGACCAGCCGAAGCAAGCGGAGCCCACGTTGGCGTTCAAGGACAAGTGCTTGAAGATCCAGCCTGGCCAGGCAGCAAGGGAGATCAAGAAAGCCCCCGAGGTCAACTGCTACGCGTACATGGACTTATCCATCAAGTACAAGCCGCCCGCGGCCGACGTGGACAGGTACGACCTCATGATGGCCACCCTGTACGGGGACGACGTCGAACCAAAGGAGATCGAAGTCCTTGGCGAGGCGCTGGCCCTCATGCACAAGCGGCAGCCACCTCGCGTGCGGGTTCGGAAGGGGAAAGGCAAGGCGCTCAGGACCGCGATCCAGCGATCTGGGGATCTAGGGCGCCTGGGGGGCCTAGATATGCGATCTATGCGATCTATGCGATCTATGCGATCTAGGTCGCCACCTGTGCGATCTATGCGATCTATGCGGTCTATGCGATCTATGCGACCTATGCGATCTATGCGACCTATGCGATCTATGATCTATGCGATCTACCTATGCGATCTATGCGATCTATGCGACCTATGCGACCTATGCGATCTATGCGACCTATGCGATCTATGCGATCTATGCGATCTATGCGATCTATGCGACCTAGGTCGCCTAGGTCGCCGCCTGTGCGATCTATGCGACCTATGCGGTCTATGCGATCTATGCGACCTAGGTCGCCGCCTGTGCGATCTATGCGACCTATGCGATCTATGCGATCTATGCGACCTAGGTCGCCATCTGGGCCTAGGTCGCATAGATCGCATAGATCGCATAGATCGCACAGGCGGTCGCCACCTATGCGACCTATGCGACCTATGCGATCTATGCGATCTATGC